ACATAAAGAAGAAAAGGTCCTAGGTGAGAGAGGGAACGACTGTAGGGAGTGAGGAGGAAGGAGCTATAGGGCTTGGGGACCTGAAGAGCAGAGCACAACCTGGTCAGCTTTCCCAGAAGAAGAAGAAAAAGATGAGGCAGCATCATGAAGAGAAAGAGGAGGAGACAGGGGTCTTGGGTAAGGGGCAAAGAGGGAAGGAGGCAGTGATGGGTATCAGGGAAAAGGTGGAGAGCAAGGCATGCACAGACCCAAGCAGAATCAAGAAGAGATGGCAGCGTGAGGAGGATTTGAATACAGAGGATGAAGGCGAGGAGACAGCTTTAGGCAGTGAGACTAGGAAAGCAGAAAGCGGAACACACAGTGAGGGAAGTAGCAAGAGAAGCAAGAAGAAGAGACAGCAGCGTCAGGAGGAAGAGGCCTTGGGTGTATGTGATGACAATGAGGTCCATGCGACTAGGGAAACAGAGAGCAGAGAGGAGAAAAGGAGGCAGCAGCACCGAGAGCAGGAGAGGGCCAAGAAGAAGAAGCAGCAGAGAGACTGAACTTCTAGTCAAGGTGAGGCTCAGCTGATTCCCTTCCATCTGCGGCCTTGAGACCTGCATTGCTGCAGGACTTGTGCACCCTCCACGGAGTCCCTCCAGAGGAGGAAACAGCTCTCCCGCAGCAGCACGTAGTGCCAAGCCTTAGCTGAGGGCGTGGATGTAGAGCCCTCTGCAGCTCCAAACCCAGAGACCACGATTTCAAGTGCTTCCAGAGACCACGATTTCAAGTGCTTCCAGGAGCCAGGCAGCTCAGGGACAAGGAGTGCTGAGGACCGAGAAAAGGAATGCATCCAGGGAACATCCTGCTAAGAAGCTGAAAAGGTAGACTTACAGCAGTGTCTTGACTTTTAAATATTGTGAAGCTAAGAAAAACATAAAATTTAGGTCTGTGGGCTAGATTCAGCTCACAGGTGGCCCATTTCTAACTTTTATAAACAAATACCGTTATCCTGGGTTTCTGGCCTACAGGTGGGTCCCAAAATACATCTCTATTCCCAGCCTGGGAAAGTCCTGAGTACAGATTATGAGATTTTCTTCTGGGTCTTTCATGAAATTCCTTCTGGGAAGGAAAAAATGGAAACAAAGCTTTTGTACATAGGGAGGCGAAGGGGGTTGAGGGGAAGAGGGAATGGGAAAAAAAGGCGGACATATCCTGTACAGATGCAAGTTCCCTATGATGAGTGTTATCATTATGTATGCCTAAAATATACAAATAAAGGTTTAGTTGTAAAAAAAAAAAAGAATATTCGCAGAGGTAAACTACATCAGGGTGAAAAATTTTGCTGCCGATTATTTGAAATAATTAAAGATAAAACTCAAGCTGTGATTACCATTTCCCAAATGAATGAAATCAGAGTAGTAAGCTTCTGGGAGAGTTGATAACTATATCTAATGGAATGTAAGCAAAATTGTAAGTGCTTAGTGGCTCTGATTTTGTTATTAACCTCCCATGTTATTTAGGACCTATGAATTTTAGTTGAAGTATAAGGTAGGCTAGATCAGTTATGAGGACAAGGGGCAAACCTGAAGGACAGTGGGACATGGGGCTCACAGAGCAATTTTGTGGGCCAGCTCTGCCTGTCCAGTTACAAACAAACCACACCCCTTTGACATGGCTTCCAGGGCACATTTAACCCTCCGTGGCAGTGCACAAACTATTTTAGGACTAAAAGGTACAAAAGATAATGTGAAATAGGAAGAAAAGAGGCAAAGGGGAAGGGGAAGTGGGAGGGGTAGGGGAAAGGAGAGAAGGGAATGGAATTAATATGACAAAATGGAAACAAAGTCTTTGTAAATAGGGAGGGATGGAGGGGTTGAAGGGAGGGCAGAGGAATGGGGAAAGAATAAGAACTAAGATGGATTACGTAAAGGTGTAAATTTCCAATGATGAATGTCATTATATTGTATACCTAAAATGTACCAATAAAATTAATTTTAAAAAACCCAGAAAGCAAGAATAAACTAGATTTTAAAGCAAGAGGCTTGCTTCTATTTGTTGTTGCTTCCTAATGGAAAAGAGTAGTTGTGGCTAGGACAACCATTGAATTGTGAAAAATGACTTATACTCTGCTTGAATTTTGAGATGATTGTTATTTTACTTTCATTCACACACACCTCTACACATACATATATGTTTATGCTTAATCCATTTTGTATAGATTATATCAATATTCTTGGTCTTCTCATGAATGCAGTAAGATAGGGGAAAGAAACTAGCTTCAAATACTGCGAGACATTGTAAAAGCTGGCCTCTTTCATGATTAAAATTCAGCCTAGAATAAACCAGAGTGAGTTTAATTTGCATGTAGGAAATTTGTTATACATAAAGCTTGTAGCTACTTGTGACTCAGTTTTTCCTTTTTATTTACCTAATGAGCAATGACTGAGCCTCATCTTGGCTTTCTTGTAGCTTACCTGTGAAATGCCCATCATGTTTTTCCTGGTCCTTGTCATCAGGAAACCCCAGAGAGTGCCAGGGTCTGCTCAGGTTTTGTTTATTGGACTTTTATCTCTGACTCTTTCTGTGTAATATCACAGCTCAGTGCCTGTCAATATTTAAATTGCAGCCTCTGAAAAGAGCTCCAGTTCCTTATCCTCTCCCTGAGAGAAGATTTTTGTGGCCCCAGCTCTTTATGCCGACCTCCATGCCCTGATATTTTGAAGAAAGATTGAAGGTCCTGATATTGGCTGCGAGGATGAAGGTTACTAAAAATGACAAATAACTGACCCTCTAATAAGATTTAAAACAGGTTTATTGAGCTGTGAGGTTGTCAGTAGTAATGAGATTTTATTCTCATTTTCTCACATCTCTTTTAATTTACAGCAGTGTTGGAAAAAATTGTTTTTAAGGGCCACCAAAAATATGATTCATGACTTCTGCTCACAGATATCTTAAGCTCATTAGAAAATTATGAAGATGCATAATGCCCAGGGTAAACTTAAGACTAATAAAACATTTTGCTTAAGGTGAAATTGATTTCAAATGTGCTGGGAGAAGTGAATATTAGTTAGCCTTAGATTAATTTCTTTTAGCTTCAAGGTTGCATTGTATGGGGGCAAGATAGTTCTTTAAATTAAAGATGGCATAATTAGAAGTGCAATAAATTGAAGGAATTACTCTATTTGATATAATTTCTATGCAGTCTTGTCTCACTGATTCTGTTATGGCACGGTCAATGAGTGGTGATGACTAGGTGCTGATTTTCAACTATATTATTCTTCACCGTTATCACCCTTTATTATAATACTTATCTGCAAGGGTACATCAATCAGGAAATACCATTAATTACACTGTTAATGGTCAGCAAGTGAGAGGATTATGCTAGAATGAATAGACAATGAGCTGTAAGTACCTTTGGGATAGGCATGTAACTACAGCAGTGGTACCATGGACAATGCTGAATTGGTAGGCAAAGCTGCCAGCCTGAAGCCAGAAGGTAGCATGCATTATTGACCTTTCATTTACTTGGAAAACTGCAGGAGCCTTGAGTCTAACATTAACCAATGATATTCAGAGCTTTTCTTGCACGGCAAGTCTTGGAGAATTTCATCCTCTGGTAATGCACAGAGATGATGATATTTCTAAATGACACAGTTTGATCGTACTTCAGAGTTTTGATCAATTCTTTTCTGCTCTGGAGAAAAACAAAATTTGAAATATAAACCCAAAGCTTTTTCCACTTGAATGCATAATAGGGTGAAGAATAATGACTTTTAGATATGTTGCTTCCAAATATTTAGTAGGTTTATGAGTGTATTTATTTAATATATTTACTTTTGAGTTTTTTCTTCCATAATACTTATATGCTTTAGAATCATTATAATGGTTATTAATAGTCAGATATGTCATACTTTAAAAATTGTAGTATTAATCTAGTAATATCTAATGCTGCCCTTGTTGATATTGAAATTATACTCCTATCATTTAAAACTATTTAAAGTTTAGAAAAATCATAAATTTCACAAATTGTGTCTTATGTTGTGGCACAAGGTATATTGTTGGCATAATTTTCAAATTCCATTGAACATGAAAGTTGGATAAAGTGGAATGAATTAATTTTGAAATGACTTTAATAAAGAAATTAGTACAAAATCATATAAAATGAGATGATCATGGATCATTCACTGGAGAAATTAGTGTAAAAGTTGGTTTGCATGTTTAAAATATGAAAGGAGAAGAAAAGCAGGCTGGAAAACTGTAAAAGAAGTGGAATAACCTTCCCTGTCCGTCCAACTTCCCTGCTGGCATGAAAGAGCACATTTTGGAATTATTCTTGAGGTCAGTTAGAAGCAGCACCCATCAGAAAGAGGCAGCAGCACAAAATAAACAAATTAAGAAGCAAGTAACTAAAATGTTAATCTTCTTAAATATCAGTGCTCTTTACTGATCTCTTGATTGAACTGCAAGAAAAACTAAAAATAATCATGCTATGCCAGTTAGTTTTTTTTAAAGCAAATAACTCCATTTTCTAACTCATTCCTTTATAGTTTTCTATGACCAACTTTCAATTTGTTTTATTTTCCAGTTTCTATGAATATACTGCTTATTTTTAGCATTGAGGAGGCAATGCTTTCTCCTGTGGATGCCAAATGCAGGACAAATTAACATTCAGCATACCTATTAGTGGGAAATTAAAATACTATTACATTTCTTCTGAATGATTTCTTTTATTACAAAGATATATTTAATTAGGCACTTAAAAATGAAGTGTTCCTTGAAATTTGGAAGTAATTTTATTATTTCTATAATTCTCTTGCCAAATTAATTAGATATTGTGGGCCAAATGTGTAGTTTAAAATCATCAGATTAATGCAAATGACATTTTATATGTAAAATTAAATTGGAGACTTTTAGAGATATCTTAATTTAACCTGAAAGCCAGTTGTGAAAATAGTCCTCTATATTGAAATTAAATATGTTATTTAAAATTAATTCTAAAGCTAAAGGACAAGCATTACCTCAGATTAAATGGTAAAGGACAAAGATTAATGGTGAAAAATCTTTAATTAGTAGGAAGGAATTGAGTGGAAAATTATTAACTTGTCCCTTCATAAATCTTTAATACTAATTGATCAGTGCTTTATATTTAAAAATGTAATCACCAGAGTGTAAATAAGCAGTGTAACCTTTCTTAATCATGACCTAAAATATTCCCCAAGACATTTGAAAGGCACACCGTTCTGGACTCGGACTATTCTATCCTAAGAATATATGGAGCTGTTTTTAGGGAAATGAAATTCTTGTAAATTTTGGAAACATTTCCTCAATTTCGAATATAACTATCTTTCCCTATCCCACAAACATCACTAATTATTTCAGAAATGCTAAATTTACCTTTGTCATTAAAAATGTGACTTCTCAGACTCTCATTAAATAGTCATTTTAAAACATCTATAACAATTGATTTTTAATCTCATAATAACTACATTTCCCAGAACTGTCAATACCAGTCCATTTTCATGATGGTCAAATGTGAGCATTAAAAAAAAACTGCTTTATT